AGAAAATCCCTTTAAGGCAAGTTTTTACTTCTGAAAAATTTGCCTATTTACTTCCATTGTAAAAGTTTAGCCTTTTTTTTTTTTTTTTTTAAGAAAACAACAGATAAGTTGAAATTTCTTTGTGGTAATCAGTATTATGCCACAAATGCTATCAGTTGAGCTTTATTTGTATTGAACCCGGTCTGTGAAATTCAAGTCCACTGACATTCTCGATTGCATGGATCAGGCCATTTTTGTGGTAATTTGATAAGGCAAGCTTATAAAATCTAACCGATGGAACATTAACAGAAGTCTGTGCTCCGTTTTCTTTGACATTTCTATTCATTATGCAGTCAGTGAACATAAATGTATTGCAGCAAGCAGGTTAAACATTAGACATCCAGGCTGTTACTAACACTGTGCATTGTGTCTTGAAACAGGTTCGTAAGCAGTTGAAAGGTTAAAGTACTTTATAAACCACTATGATATGTTAAACATTGATAGAATGGGGTGGACGTCTAACTTACCAGAAACAAATTCAATCATGGCTTTTGTTTTGAACAATGGCTTACACATTTATAGTCTAAGAGTTAAACAGTAAAGTTATGTCATAGCTTAAACTATCAGTTCAGAAATTATGAATTCCACATCAATCATGAGACTCGAAGTAGAAGGAAATTAACAAAACACCAGTTTTGATTGTCTGACTTTAGGTTTGCTGCCATAGTAACCCCATGGAAACTGATTGTTGCTGTCTACTTCCTTTTTTTTCTTCTTTGTTGCTTGTGAGACCTGCTTCCTCATTGCTTTTCTATGCATTGCTGTTTATTGAATTAAATTTTACATTATATGAACATCTCATTTGGGTTCTTTTCATTTGTGCTCCTAAATGTTACCAGCTATTCAAGATTCAGGGGATTCAGATGTAATAATCTACAAATTAACCATTGAGAACTCATGTTGATTAACTATTAATCTGAATTTCAGGGCTACATGTGCCACTCGATGTCTGTGGTGGGGATAGTTCACCCAAAAATGAAAATCTATCATCGTTTACTTACCCTGTGTTGTGTTTCCTTCTTCTATGGAACATAAAAGAAGATATTTTGAAGAATGTTGGTAACCAAACAGTTGGCGGTAGCCATTGACTTCCATAGTATTTTTTTCCTCCCATAGACGTTAATGGCTACCATCAGCTGTTTGGTTACCAAGACTCATGCATGTTTAAAACAACTTGAGGGTGAGTATTATGACAGAATTTTCATTTTTGGGTGAACTATCCCTTGAAAGTGCATATTTTGTTCAAGGAAACGGCAAAAAGGATGGATATGAACTGTTTTAGTTTAATTTTAAATATATAAAAGTGTGATAAAACCATAAATATAGTATACCATAAATATAGAGGTTAGTGACAAAGGGCCGTTTGAGAAGTTATTTAATGTGTGGCCTTTTGTAACTATCTACTTCCTCATCGAAACTGCTGACTCTATTTGGAGAACTGTGTGTTTCCATATATTTTTTGTAACAAGTCTAGAGGAGCTAAAAAAACAACAAAAAAAAAAAACCCCAAGTGTGTCTGACAGCAGTGTTTGCAATATATTATTTTAAGAATCATCAGCATTTTTACCGTTATGAAGTTAGTCACACATGACTAAAACGATTTCAAAAGCAAACCTGTTGAACAAATGTGACTTTTTAATGAAACTCCCATTTAAAATGAGCAGGGTGTACAGTATGAGCTGATAAAATAAGCTTATTTTCTACCCAGGGAGAGCTGTCAGCGTACAGAAGAGCATTAGTAAACATGGAGGTAAATACAAGCCACTTACAGTTATTGCAATTTCAGGTCTGGCTTTACTGTGCTGTATTACAGCTGCCATTGTTTGCTCTGTGAAGCGCACCAATAGCGTCCTAAAGCACGTTGAAACATTGAAAGAAGAGAGAGGGAGAAGACGGGCCATTTGTGTGTCCGTCTGGTTATTTGCTCTTACTGGACTGCCACTGTTGTTATGGTTACACATCCTGTGCGTGTTCTGGCGAAGAAGACGAGCACAGTGAAATGGACTATAAAGTCCATAATTTAACTCTTAAATGTGACAACAGCTTCTACACCACATATTTTAATCATATCGTAACTTACTACAGACTTCTATCAGATGGAATGATAGAGCAATTTTCTTGTCAATTTAATCAGATTTTCCTGTGGCATTTGGCAGGGCCCACACGTCCTCATTTGGACCACATAGCGACATATGATATCTCAAAGTGCCATCTTCCCACACATGACACCGTTATGTTTATTTTCAGTTATGGTGGTCGTTATTTATATATTTAACTTATCAGGCTGTAGATAAGTTGTGAAGTGTGAAGATCACGATGTTTTTGGCTAAAGCACTTTTTGGGTGGATCACAGAGGTGGGGTCTTTTTTATATTTCATCACATATGTCTTGTAACAATATGAATAATACAGAGAACAAAAATAGCCACTTGTACTTTTTCTTGAAGAAGAGGAGAACGGTTTTTTTTTCATTCTTCACATATTTGTTTTACTATGACCTGAACAAGAAGAACTTTTAAACGAAATTTTTAACATAAATCTGTCTTCACAACTGTCACCAAATGACATATGTGTAACAGACTGTTGAGATGACATCTTAAAGGGCTAGTTGAAAGATAAAAAAAAAATATATATATATATGCATGCATAATTATAATAATTATAGTAATTATTTTTTAAAAAGGTACACCTTTGTTTACTTACCCCGAAAGGTGCATATTAGTACCTTACTACCTGAGGTGTTAATAGTACATCTCAAGTGTACATATTAGCATCTTAATGGTATATATTTGGGTACAGCCCCAGTAACAGGTTTTGCACTTTTTTTCTGAAAATGAATAATAAATGCATTCAGGTTGAAATTATTCAGGAAAAAAGTCATACAGGTTGTGTTGCTGTGGCCTGTGGATTGCTCTCCTAGTGGGTTTGTATGGTGCGATTCTTTGTAAAGCTTTGAAACAGTATGTATTGTCAAAAGCACTATACAAATGATTTTAAGTCATTTGATCAGGTTGCACAATAAGCATATGTTTGCATATTGGGATGTCTTGTTTGCATTGGTTTATGAAAAGGTTAAGAGAGGCTCTGGTCAGTTAAACATTAAGAGTTATAAAGGGGTTAATTAACACGAGTTTAGTTCAAATGTATTCAGGTTCCTAATTCTTTAACATTCAACGTAAGTAGCAGGCAATGCGAAGGTTTATGTAATGCACGGCACTGCCATGCGCCAGTGTAACGCTCAATAAGATCTTACTGCACTCCATTAAACTGGCCAGCTCACAGATCTCGAAGCTGACAACATCACTGGAAACGCAGGACAGATTTAATCTCTACAGACAGCTATTGGTTGCTTCAGACTTTGTTTTGTCATATGCATTTGGAGATTCAGGTCAGATCTCAGTGTTGTTGTGTGAAATATCTTTGTGTATGCCAAATATGAACTTAATCCTGCTCCAAGTATTTACAAAACAGCATTTTTTTTCTTAGGCATGTGATGAAGTGATTTTGAAATGTAGGTGGGTGAGGAACACTGTAGGTGATATGAGTTTATATTCTTGTGATTTTGTGGTGCATTTGGCAGAGGAAACATCGAGTTCAGTACAACTGTTTTTTTTTTTTCCACAATTTGCATTTATTACATTATTTTGGTCAAATGAAATCGTTTCCATTATTTTGTGTCAACAATTTGAGGCCACGACACATGTTGATAAATAAGTAAAAAATACATGGCTATACCTTCAATAAATACTCAATAAATATATTAGTTAGGTCTATACAATTACAATTACAAAAAAAAAACATTGCAAATGAAGCAAACTATTCTACAGAAATACTGTTCTGTTACAGTCCCTGATAAAAGACAAGTTTCCTTGAGTAAGGACCCAACCAGGGTTGTCAAAACATTAACTTGACAGCTCTTGTTCAATATAAATATGTTTTTAGGTTTGTTGAGTTTTCTTGTACAAAACAGGTACCTAACATCATAATGCTTTGGTTAAAATGCTACATGGAAACATTCACCCAGTATTGATTTGTAAAGTGCATTCTTTGTGAGTGAATGTATGGCCGTTTTCTCAAGTTTATCACATTGTTGGTTGATATACAAAGGGTGCAAATTATTTGGGGAACTGACTTCTCCAAAAAATGGCTAGAAATTCCTTTAAAAAGCCAACCCCCTAATTCACACACTGGATATATGATATATCATAATTATATATGCACATATATATTTGACACAAGCTCTGCTTATGCCACTAGCATAGGTTATATCTTAAGGCACTTGTCTGCAATGCTCACTGCCAAACAACGTTGAAAAGCAAGAAAAGCATAAGCAAATGGAAGACAATATGACAGAAAATAATAGGCTACAACACCATTATAAAAACAATGCCTGCTTAGGTTTTGGAGGGCAGCTTGGTATCAAAATAATCTCCTTTAACTAATATATATATATATATATATATATATATATATATATATA